TTAACATTTCCTTAGGGACTGTTGAACAAATTGATATAGAAAGTTCCATGGCTGAGTAGAACAATAACATATAGTGATGTTCATAGGAATGCAGTACAAAATCAACTAGTGAAGTTGAAAAAGTAGACTAAATTTGAAGTACCTGTTCAAAACTTCAATTGAAGGTAGTTATGTCTTCTGTGAATAGAACCCACAAAAAAATCTACCTGTATATATACAGAAAGAAAGTTACATTCTCATCTTGTATAAGAGGAATGAGTAGGCAATGAAATCAGAGACATGGAATGACAAAGCATTCTTTACTTTTGAGTGGAAGGTTGACTTGGTTCACAATGAGGATTTCAAAACAAGCAATCAACTGTTAAATCTTCTCTAAATGGATTAAACAAATTCATCAATTTACTTAAATGTAAGCCAATTTTGATTAAGTGTTAAGAATTCCTACTTATACTATACATGTTATTATGCAAATGAGATGAATTACTTATGGGGGAAAAAAAAAAAAAATTGCATAAAATCTTTCATTTCAGAAAGGAAAGCCCTAAAGTTGAATTTTGCATCTTACACCAGGTTTTGTGTTTACTTGCCTAGGAGCAAAATCCAACTTAAGGTAGTTGCGCCTGCTCCCAAAATAATTTTCACCATATAACAAGCTGTATGTCAAGAAAGATGTGTTGCCCGCCTCTCTACAAAAGGAATGATTAGGCAAGGGCTTAAATTTCTACTATGTACAAAGCCAAGAAAACAAAACTTTAAGAATGAACACCATTTCATGTTACATAAAACGAAATCATACATTTAAGATTGCAACAATCTGACCCCAAAACAAAGGTACCTCACAATGCCGAGGGATAAAATCAGCTAATCCTGTTTCTTAGGCATTTGAGTTTCTAGCATTTCCTTCTTCAACATCCCTGCTAGTTCATCATTCCCTTGCTTTGTATTTGCATCAATGAAAGCACTATAAATCTCCAAATTTGGTTCAAACCCTTTCCGTTTCCCTACCATCTCTGCCTGAAGCTTCAATGCTTCTTCTGTCCTCCCCTCTTGACATAATCCCTTTATTAGAAACTCGTAACTCTTCCTCTTCGATGTAATCTCATGTTTTCTCATTGCAACTCTCAAAAACTCCAAAGTCTTACATCCCCAATCTTATAATACCCATTAATGAGATGCTCAAAAGTGACACAAGAACTCTCCATACCACTCAACCCCATTTCTCTGAAAAACTCTGCAGCCCTTCCAACCTCTCCAATTCTACAAAACCCACTAATCATGGTGTATGCCACAACATCATGCTTCAAACCCTTGATTCCCATCTCTAATAATTTCTAGTAGCTAACTGATACATTAATATCATATTTTTAATAGTTTTGGATTTAGTAACTAACTATTATGGATGTGTGCCCAATCCTCATATCAAAACTAAACTTATAAAGAGCAATAATTGCAATTTTATAGAATATACTAATAAAAGAATCTACTATAACAAACCTGAGAACCTATATCTAAGAGAATTGGAGAACTAATAACCATTTCAAGAGAAGTACATGATCCACATAATTATACCTGAGTTTTGCTTTGTAGCTGTCAACAATTTCCTGGTTTTCTTCTTTTGTAGAATACCAAATGACCCTAGGAATGACAAAGTATGAAACCTTTCTACATATTGGGCATGCCCTCAACGTGGAGTTGACATCCATTCCAGAGGTTGGGGAACTACTATGCCAATTCCTGATACAAGATATACAGAATGAATGAGACCAAAAATTGAATCAGAAACCAAAAATTGGTGAAAAATTGTCGATGAAGATACAGTGGAGGACTGTGATCGAAAAACTTTAACATGTTCATATCTGTATCGGCTTCCATAAGAACAGACTCCTTTCTGGTAGAAGGTGCACACCTGCAATATTATTTCAATAAGAAACAAAAAAAAAAAAGAAAGGGAAATTTTTTTTACAGGACTAATGGAATTAATGAGTTGACTATCAAAGAAGATAGCAGACAGTTTACATTATTTGATGGGTCTTTCTAATCAATTCTAGCTCCTTCTATATCTCAACAATTTCCTAATAATCACCACCACCTAGAACTGATGGCTATAATACTACACCTTCTGAAAGCAGCATTATATTTCTTTTGCTTAAGCTCGGTAAGGTTCATTATTTGTTACTAGACCAAGAGTATAAATTTCTATTCCAGATTTTATAGCTTAATGTTGGTGGCTGGTAGTTAGAATGCCTCTTTATTCATGGTTGAGACACCAACAGATTTTATACTTCTATTTTCAGAGGCATATTAGCAAACAGGTGGTGTACATAATTTACACATAAATTAAATTAAAGAAAAAAACTTGGAATGAACAAATTGAATCAAAATGACATAGGAGATAGACGACTTTGACCAACCCTAGCATTAAAAAATCACTTGTTAGGGTTTTGAAAATTAGGAGAGCGAAAGGGGCAGAGTGAGAGCAACAAACGAGAGAGAGAGAGAGAGAGAACTTAATAGATAATTGTAGTCGTCGGTGGTAGTCGCAGTCGCAGTGGAGGGTGCGGTCGCGAAGGACGCTGCTGATGGTGAAGGTGCTCGTGTGCATGACAAGGCAAGCGAAAGAGTATTTTTGAGAGAGAGAGAGAGAGAGAGGTGGTTCCAGAGACCAGAGAGATGGTGGTTTCAGAGATGTAAGAAAACTGACTTAGGGAAGAGAATTGGAAAGGAAGAGTCATGCTGTGTTTTGGAAATTCTATCCTGTTTGTAAAAGTGAAGAATCGTGCCTCTCTATTTGTGAGTGACACTAGAATTGGCGCCAAGATTGAAAATTTTATTTTATATATAATCATACTAATTGGAAGTGTGTTAATTGAAAAAAGACATACAAAATAACTATAATCGCATGTTAATTGGAATTTGTGATTAAAGAATATATATATAATCACACTTAATTAATTAAAAAGTGACATAAAAATAAATATTATTATATTCAATTAAATCAAATGTGATTAAAATATCAATCCAATTTTTTTTATCACATTTCCAATAAAGTGAAATTTCTTTATTTGTCAAAGTGTGATCTTTAACTATTTTTATAATAGTATCTATTTTTTCCTTTCTCTTTTCATCCCTTGGACCGAAGCCCTATGCTCGCTTGAGCTCCCCAGCCTCTCCTTCTCTTCTCTTTCTTCTCTTTTTATAAGCAAAGTACTTCTAATATTATAATAAAACATATATATCTATATAACAATGGAAGGGTTGATTTGAAAATGTCTTTGAAATTAATGGTTCAGATCTATCTAATTTAAAAAGCAATGGCTCAGATTTATTTTTGAAAATGTCTCTCTCACAAACTATCTTTAATGGTTTAGATTTGTCTAATTTAAAAACAATGGCTGAGATTGAAAAGAGTTTCGATGGTCTAGATTTTTCAATGGTCTATTTTTCAATGGTTCAGATTTGTTTACCTATCTACTCTCACCAACCCACTGCACTCTTTACATCTGGTAAGGCACTCTTTACATCATATGAACAAAGCTCTGAGAAAGCTTTGAAGAAGGAAGAAAGCTCTGAAGAATTAAGAACACAGCTTAATCGAAAGCTCTCTTCTCCACCATCACCAAGTAAGGCACTTTTCTCTCCTCACTTTCTTTTTGTTTTTCCATTCATTTTTTTTACCTCTGTTTTTTTTTTTTTTCATCATCCCGTCATCCCCACCTTTAGTTTGAATCTATATAACAACTGCTCAGATTTTTTTTTTACCTTCAGTTTGTTTTTTTCTGAAGCAAAAAATATATATATATATATATATGAAGCAAAAAATTTACTTACTCTATATCTGAAGCAAAAAATTCAGAGGGTTAAGATGATTTGTTTGTTTTAGCTTTTTCCCTCCAAAATTTCTTTGTTTTAGCTTTTTCCCTCCAAAATTTTCATCTCTCTCTCTCCATTTTCCTCACTGGTTTTAGCAATCTCCACCAACTCTCCATTTTCCTCACTGGTTTTAGCAATCTCCAGCAACTCTTCATAAGTGACACTCCTATTCTTCTCTGCTCTTTCACTTGAAATGGGTTAAAAATATGATGGATTTTGATTTCATTGAAATGGGTTTATGATGGGTTGAAAATTTACATTTTCTTTTTGTACAGTTGATAGGTTTATATATTTCCATTTCATTGATGGGTTTTATCAACTAATCTATGATTATAATGGGTTTCGATTTTGGTTTTGGTTTCTATAAAATTGTATTTTGGTTTTGTATTTTGAAATTGGTTTATATTTCGATTTTGGATTTTGGATTTGGACTTTGGATTTGGATTTCTATAAAATTATATTTCGATTTTGGATTTTGGAAAGGGGTTTATAATGGGTTTATGATTATAATGGGTTTATATTTACTCATAGAATTCTTATTCAATAATTTTCTTTTTGTATGGTCTGTTTTGTATTTTAGGTTCATATTTGTGGGTTTCATCAACTAAACCTATGAGGATTTTAGAAAATTATTGAATAATAATTCTATGAGTAAATGGGTGCTGATGAAACATTAGCATTCTGTCTTTGGTTTGACATGGGTTTCTAGCATTTTGACATGGGTTTCTATTATAGGGCTGTTTGCACCCTGTTAATTTTCCTTTTCTTAATTCATTGAGAAAATGTTATTGATTGTTTCTTAGGTCCTTGCGTGCATTACAAAAGTATTTTACTGAGATGCCTTATTGAAAATGCATGTGAACCAAATTTTTTTCATACCTCATAACTAGCTCTTATATTATTGATGAATTGAACAGTTTAATAGGGGAGTTTAAAAAACTCCATTAGAAGTATGAAAGGAGTGAGCTTTTCTCCTTGGTTTTCCCTTTCTTTTTTTGTTTTGTTTTGTTTTGTTTTTTTTCTTTTTCTGATAGTACTGTGCATACAATGCACTCTATTCTAATACACGGTCACCTTTTGAAAAACTTGGCAAAAATTCTTCCCAAACTCTTAACATTGGTGTTATTTGCAGATTTTCAGGTCACCTGGTAAACCGCTTGTGCCTGCTGTTTCTGGACGAGTCCAAGGTATGTTTTTTAAAAAAAAAGTACTGGCTCTCTTAAACTGTTTTCAAGAATAGTATTATTGTTGCTTCATGAAGGCAATTTATGACATCTATTAAAGCATTCCAATTTATACATGAAACACAATTAATGAAATTTATTTTCTTTTACTCTCAATAAAGCTCTGTTATTAGAATCAATTCGGTGGGTAATCGATACAAACGGGTTGTGTGAATCGCAAATAACTATGAATCGGAGGTGAATCGGTGAACCGAATTGGTGAATCGTGAATCAATTGGATTTGCTAAAATCGATGTTTGGCTTTCTTTTTTGGTTTTTTATTGTTGGATAAGGGTTCACAAAACCTTAATCAAAAGCCCATTTTATTTTGCACCCTGTTTTTGGTGATAATCAAGATATTTGCAGATTTTCATTCCCCCATTTGATATGTGATGTTTAGTCAAGATATGTAATATAGATAAATCTCATCTTCATCATAATTAGACCCTAGGAATTTTCAACAAATTAATAAAAGTTTGTGTGAACCAACTTCGCCCATTAAATCTCATCTTCATAATTACTAATAGATATTTTTAACTCTTGTGATGATTCTATCGTCAGGAATTCTTAGAATGCATTAAGTGTTTTTTTTTTTTTTTTAATTTCAACATTCCATGTAATTTTATAATATGAATCGCGATGCAATTGGATTTGTCTGATACATATAATCAGCAGATAAATATGTATATATGAGAGTTACTTTATAAAAAATAGGTTCCTCAACATAACTCAACGTTAGAGAGGTTTCTCGATAGTAAAAATAAAATAAAATGATATATCAGTCAATTTTGAGTTACATATCACCATTGAAAAAGAAATAGCAGTTGAGGACTATAATGCCTTCAACCCTCTTTTCAAAGCAATATATAAAAGTTGCATGACACTTGGAAAGCTATAATATAGAATAATTGAAAGACTCGCATGGCATATAAATAGTTTCTCATATTTTTGTCGTAGGTATTATTCAATTCAAGGTGGGTGAATATGTTTAGTCTCATTGCCTCCATACTTTGATTTGAGAAACAAAAAGGAAGTTTTGGTTTCTTGGAAAATGACTATAGCGATCCCGGGTTTACCCTTGTTGTACAGTGATCCGGACATGTGTCCGTGGATGTTGGTAGTTGTTTATTATCTTGTTTACATCCTTTTTACTTTGTATTGAGAAGAGTGTTGGCGCGCAAGGTTTTTGTTAACAACAGTTGTGTGTGTTTGGGAGCCTAGTTGGCTGCCTCTCAGATTTTTGGACCTTCGCTCTGAGGATGGCAGTTGGTCGCTCTCGAGCGAGAGTTGAGTTCTGTCTGGTGGATCGCCATGAGTGGCTTTCGCTCGTCCCGGACGATGGCGATTGCGTCTGGTTCTGGACCGAGAGGTTGCAGTTTTCTTGGCTCGAGCGAGCTTTCTTGGCTCGAGCTGTCTGGTTTGTTCTTTCGCTCGAGCGAGAGGTTTGTCCGCTCGAGGCGTTGCTTCTGGCTTGCAGGACCTGTAGGGTGGGTGTAGTTGCTTGGCTGGCGAGCGATTCTGGCTCGAGCGCCACTTCTGAAATTTCTGGCTTCGAGCGAGAGTTCTTAGGCTCGAGCAAGAGTTCTTCTGTGTCTGTCGCTCAAGCGACAAAAGCTCGCTCGAGCGACGCTCGTTTTATATCAGCTGGACAGGAGCTTTTATGAACACGTCACTTCTTCAACCGTTTTTCTTTTCCAAACCTAGATCCGACACCACTCTCTCTCCTTAGCACGTAGATTCTCTAAGAATAGATCTCCCTAGACGTGTGATCTAGGCCTAGGCTGCTTGTTAAATAGATAGAGGGTGTGAGCGGCTTGAATTTGAATGACATTTGAAAAAAGTTTGGATTTGGAGCACGTTGGTCTCCGTGGTCTTCATACTCTTTTTGGCTCAAACTTCGAGTGAGAATATTTCCTACCCCTCTCTCATTGTGTCGTTTAGATCTTTTTAGTTATGTTGAGATGTTGGTTGGTTGCGGTAATGTTTGTGAGTTTGGGGCTTTTGTAATTTTACAAAAAGTTGGGGTTTTATTACATTAATAAAACCTGATGCCATGTTTGGCATGAGAAATGAATAAATGTTGAATCATTTGAAAGACCAGGTTGAATGGCTTAGTGAATTTAATTGGGAACACCTAATTACATGTTTTAAATTAATTGGATAATTAATGTGAAGAATGAGAAATGAACGATTGTGATTGAATATCCATTGTGCATCTTATTTTCTCGTTTACGAAATAACTATTGGCTTCGGTGGCAGGGATAAGTCGTGATGATTGTTAGACAATGCATGATGATTAGGCAACGGAACGTAATCACGGAATGTGTCAGGAATTGACGATTGAAGTAGAATACAATTAACTACATGTATTGAGATTGTATACAGAACCAATGTGTTTGTATACGTTATTGTAGAGAGGAGATGGGGATGTACTCCCGCGGTTAGGGAAAGAAGGGATGTACCTCAAAACCGGATAGTTTGGGAGAAGATAGGGATGAACTCTGTAGATACAGCTCATATGCTTGTCTAGAGAAGTGAAGATAGACTTATATGCTTATCTTTGTGAAGTGTGGATACAGCTTATATGCTTATCTGTGAATGTGGATATGTTGTTAAACATATCTGTTGAGAATGTGGATAGAGCTACATGTCTACTGTGAAAAAGGGAAAATGAAGTATCTGGGACTCATAAGTCGTGTGGGCATAAATATGTGATTTATGTGAATGTATCGATTGTTGCCATACTATAATTGCTAATTTTTTAGTCATTGTTCATGGTTGGTTTAGTGTATTTCTACTGGGCTGTGGCTCACCCTATATGGGAATATCATTTTCAGGTACAGGAAGCATGCCACCTCCAAGGACATAGCTTGGGAGGCTAGAGGCGGACATACTTTTGTCATATTACTTTTTGATGTATTACATGTAATTTCAAGCCAAGGGCTTAATGTGTACAGAGTTAGTACTCTTTTGTTGTAACCAAGTGTTAACTTGGAAAGCTGTAAGCCCATAGGGCATTTGCTTTTGTTGTTAACATGTAATACTTTTGTAATGAAACACAGATGAATAGAAAAATGTGGTTATTTCATATGTTAATGAATGTTTTATTTGATGGGTTTAATGTTATTATTTTGAGGGCGTTACAATGACCTCAACCAAACATTTAAATTTTAAGATATGAAGCCAAACTCTAAGGAAGGAAAAGTAAAATGAAAATTACAGATTAGTGAGTTGTTCCCAAAATATTTACGAATTTATGAAAAAAGTTTATAATTTTAATTATTAAAGTTGATAAAGTTCCCCACTTATTTGAATTTTTTAAAAAAAACTTTCACTGAATTGTAATTTTCCCGAAGTAATTTTTTTTTTTATATCCCCACTTATGAAAATCTGCAAATATCTTGATTAAGGTTTATCTTGCAAACATCACCTGAGATTTATCTACACCCACTTCTCTCTCTCTCTCTCTCAAATGGGGGTTAAGGGAAAATATATTTCATGTTAAGAATCATTTTTATTTCATCTTATGGGTTGAGACTCTTTAAAAAAAAATTCTGAAGCAAAAATCTCATTGAACCCTACCAATGACAATTACATTCGGACCACATTGAAATTGAAACATTAAAGGGTGTCTTTCTATTTCTGTAAATATTGAAATGGGTTAAAAATATGATGGATTTTGATTTTGTGGCATTATAGGGCTGTTTGCACCCTGTTTTATTTTGTTGCATAATCCAAAGCCCATTTTATTTTGCACCCTATTTTTGGTGATAATAATTCCTATAATCTATTAAATGCTGCTGCTGAGGATGAACTTTAATAGCAAAAACAAAAATGTTAAACATTTTAAAATTTTTATCAAATATTAAACAAACTAAAATTTTGTATTGTGTTTTTTTCTTTAATAATCAATTGGGTTTCAACACCCACTTCTCTCTCTCTATCAAATGGGGGTTAAGGAAAAATGGATTTCAAATTAATAATCATTTTTATTTCATCTTAGTTAAATGGGTTGAGACTCTATTTAATTATCAATAGTCATATTTTTACTCACCAAATATGGGTTGACAAAATGACGGTTTGTCAGAATTTTAAAATTTTTATCAAATGTCTCAAATGTCTCAAAATAGAAAATAAAATTTTGTATTGTGTTTTTTTCTTTAATAATCAATTGGGTTTCAACACCCACTTCTCTCTTTCTCTATCAAATGGAGGTTAAGAAAAAATGGATTTCATGTTAAGAATCATTTTTATTTCATTTTATGGGTTGAGACTCTCTTTACAAAAAAAATTTGAAGCAAAAATCTCATTTAGAAAAATGATTATCACTCTCTCAATAATTAATATTTTTCAGTGATTCTTGTGCACATAGAAAGATATCTCATTTATCTAACATTTGGCACTAGTTTCACTCCATAGGATTTGTTTAGAGCAAAATGACATAGAAACAAAGTGAGGGTTAACTACTACTCCTAAAAATCTGTAGGATCCAACCGTAAAGACAAAAGGTTTTCAAAACTCAAAACGCATGCCATGATCTTAAAAAAATGTGAGTATACCAATACTCATTGATAGTTCTACATTTTGGCCAATAGAGAAAAATGATGAAGATTTCTATGATAGTATTTAAATTTTCTTCTATCCTTTTTAATGTATATTGAAGACATAAAAAAATTATAATTTGCCTTCAATCCTGTAGTAGTTCAATTTCTCCATCTGTGATATTCATGTACATACAAACTTCTTAAAGTAGGTTGTTAACTATCTCTATCAAATGGAGGTTAAGGAAAAATGGATTTCATGTTAAGAATCATTTTTATTTCATTTTATGGGTTGAGACTCTCTTTACAAAAAAAATTTGAAGCAAAAATCTCATTGAACCCTACCAATGACAATTATATTCAGACCACACTGAAAATGCAAAATTAGTAATTAAATTTCAATTTTGAAGTTTTGTTAAAATTTTATTCATAAGTAGTATAATTTATATTTTTTTATAATTTATTTATTTACTTTTTTTTTCGTGGTATACATTAGTTGTTAGTACGAAAAGTGGGCAATACAATCCATAAGAATTTAACTATTGTCAATGCAAAATTACTACATAGAATCAACCACAAAATCATTTATTGCGATAGTTCTACCTTTTGGCCAATAGAGAAAAATGATGAAGATTTCTATGATAGTATTTAAATTTTCTTCTATCCTTTTTAATGTATACTGAAGACATAAAAAAATTATAATTTGCCTTCAATCCTGCAGTAGTTCAATTTCTCCATATGTGATATACATGCACATACGAACTTCTTAAAGTAGGTGTTAACTAAAATATGTTATGAGGTTGTTAATTCTGTGTCAATTAATTTTTCTTTATGACAATTATTAAACCTCATTTTGCCTTCTTACAGTTATATTCTATGTCAACAATCATTTTTATTTCATCTTAATCAAATGGGTTGAGGTTCTCATTAATCATTAATGGTCATATTCTTATTCGTCAAATATGCAAAATATATTCGTGTACATATTTAGTATTGACGAGTGCTCTTGCTAATTGTGTTTTTCATTTTATCCTTCTGCCTCAGATTTCTTTAATTTTGCTTCTCAAGCAAATACTCAGGTTAGGAAGTCCCTCCTTTGCAATTCTTTATTAGTTCCTTGCTTTGTTTTTTGAAGAGGGTTTGAGAAGGTAAAAGAAAAAAAGAAAAGAAAAAGAGAAGAGAGGCTTGTGCTGCAGAAAGGGTTTGGAAGAGTTAAAGGTGAAGGCAGCAAGCAAGGGTTTGGAGAAGTTTAAAATTAAAGAAAAGAAACCCAAACCAAGGAAGAGGGAGGATTCATAAGAGTGGTGGTTTTGCTTTATTCATCACTTAGGTAAGATTTATTTTATTGTATTCCTATCTATGATTTTAGTGTTAATATATCAATAGATGATTTTATGGGCATATATGATTAAATAGATATATTGTTGTAGTCTATGTTGGGGGTCTCAATTTTGCTCAATTTTAGAGTGTATTTTGCATCCCATTTGGGTGGTTCATGTTTTGAGATTGATATGTGATGGGTTAAGTTTAATGGTGGTGTATTTGTGGGATACACGATTGACTACAAGCAATTACAAATTTTTACGTGTATATAAACAACAATAGAATAATATGGGTTGAGAATTTCCGAAACCGTGATGGCTTTGTTTTGATGCTAAATTGTGGGAGTTCTTAATAGGCAATTGGGTTAATTTATTTTATTGTTGTTACAAGAAGAGATAGATGGGTGCACATAATAATTGTTTATGCGGTGTAATATTTTATTAGGTTTGTGAGATTGAGGTGGATCTTGGTAATTTGAGATTAGCTTGGGAAATATTATTTTAGCTGTTTGAGGTAAGTAACTCTCTATCACTGTTGGTTCATTTTTATTCCTACTGAATCGTTTAAAATTATAAATATTTATTTATACGTTTCATGTTCTCTTAAAATAAAATATGGGTCAAGTATAAAAACAACATCGAATATTATTATGAAAGTTATTTGAATATTTTGTGAAACTATTCTGAAAATTGTACCAAATGTTTATTCCAAAAATATCGAATATTTTATTTAAAAGTTGTGTATTGTTTGAATTTTGAACATCACTCTAGTCTGACTATGATTTGGACCCTAGCCAATGGGGGTTATTTATTGGCACAGAAACTAGTTTCTTTTGGGGCTTTACCACCGGCCTATGTGTGGTTCTGGGCCTTGTCACGGGCTAAGTGACCGTAGTCATTAAGACTTTGGTTTTGTGAATCAAATCATTGAACCATCTGAATATCGAACCATCGATTTGAACAACGAATTACTTTGAATTATCTTGTTGGCTTTTCATTTAAAATGTATTGTACATTGTTTATTTTTAGCTATGAAACCACCTTACAAATAATTGTGCATTTATTGAACTGTAGAAAAAAAATTATATTTATTGGTTATCGATTTATTTATTTATTTTTATATACTTGATCCAGCTAGCAGTGATGGTTGGTTATTTACTAGGCTATTTAGCTTACCCTTATTTTTTTTTTCAGATTCTGAAGAGTAGAGCTGCGCGGATTTTTTTTACATGTGGGAGTGCCGAGAGTAGGACCATGATTTAAGTACTTGGATTATTGTTTTGTTAATGGATTAAATTAGTGGACTTGATGGACATTTTCATATGAGAACTATTTATTTTTATGGATTTTGGCATTATGACAATTAAGGATTTAATTTGAGTATTTTATTATGTGGGTTATGTGATTGGATTCTTAGCCTTGCATGCTCACTTATATGAGTGTGCGGCGTTGTCACAGAGCTTGGGGCGTGATAGAATTGCAGTGGGTTAATGAATGTTCTGGATTAATGAATGAACTCTCTCAGATTTTTTTAATGCTCTGGAATTTTCATGTTTGGTCTTCAAATTTTCAATAATTAGATTACACATTAAGCTTTTAATGTTTGGTTTAGAAAGAAGTCTAATATAGTGTGTATAGTTATATATCTTGGTATACAACTGTTCAATTTCTACAGAATACCATTTTTTTTATGTATTTATTTTTTTTATAGTTGGAACGTATGATGAATTATGTGAATACTTATGTCTTTTTTTTTTTTAATAATGATATACAAGTTCATTTTTTATACCCATTTTATAGACCCAGCGATGTGTCAAGAAGATGATTGGTTGATAATTAGATAATATTTAATTATCAACCAGCCCTCTTCTTGACATATCACTGGACTTATAAAATAGGTCTAACTTAAAAGATTTTGTTACAAGTTCATTTTTTTTTTTAAATTTTCAAGTTCATATTTAATTATCAACCAGTCCTGTTCAATTTCTACAGAATACCATTTTTTTTATGTATTTATTTTTTTTATAGTTGGAACGTATGATGAATTATGTGAATACTTATGTCTTTTTTTTTTTTAATAATGATATACAAGTTCATTTTTTATACCCATTTTATAGACCCAGCGATGTGTCAAGAAGATGATTGGTTGATAATTAGATAATATTTAATTATCAACCAGCCCTCTTCTTGACATATCACTGGACTTATAAAATAGGTCTAACTTAAAAGATTTTGTTACAAGTTCATATTTTTTTTTAAAATTTTCAAGTTCATATTTAATTATCAACCAGTCCTCTTCTTACAGTTACAAGTTCATTTTTTTTTTTTTAATTTTTACAAACATTTTGTTACAGTTTAATTTTGTAATATGATAGGTCTTTTTTTTTTTTCCATCTCTCTCATGTTGTATTTGGATTTAAGATTTGAAAGGAATTTGTTGATTGAAAGGAAAAGGGAACATTAAAAAGTTAACCCTTTTAATTTGATGACCCTTATGTTTTTTGCTTTTAGTGAACTGTTTTTAATTTGGTTTTTTATTGAATTGCTATTTTAAAATGTTTAGGATTCTCTCTCTTTAAAAAGAGTCCAGTTTATTTAGCTTTTTCAATTTTGTTTTGGGAATTTTTCAAAAAAAAAAAAAAAGACTTTTTAGATGTTTATCAGGACTTTTGAAAAAACTTAAACTTATTTTAAAAATTTTTTTAGATGTTTATTAGGACTTTTGAAAAAACCAAAACTTATTTTAAAATTTTGTTGTAATAATTTTTTAATGATTTTTATGAGAGTGTTACTCCTTGGAGTAAATAAGCTACTGTGTAGTATAATTTTTTATGACGTGTATTGAAAAAGACATTTGTAATTATATAGACAATACAAAAGGTATTTGTAATTTTTCAGTTACAGTGTGGTGAGCCCTTTTATAAATTTTTATTGTAGTTTTTTTTACTTATTTTGTTTTCACATTTTAAAATGAAAATTTAGTAATTAAATTTCTGTAATTAAGTTTTGCTAAAATTTTATTCATTAGTATAATTTATATTTTTTTATAATTTACTTAGTTGTTAGTGGGAAAAATGGGCAATACAATCCATAAGAATTAACCTTTGTCAATGCAAAGTTACTATATAGAATCAACCACAAAATCATGTATTGCAATAGTTCTACATTTTGGCAAATAGAGAAAAATTATGAAGATTTCTATGAGAGTACTTAATTTTTCTTCTATCCTTTTTAATGCATATTGAAGACATAAAAAAATTATAATTTTTCTTCTATCCTGTAGTAGTTCAATTTCTCCATCTATGATATTCATGCACAAATGAACTTCTTAAACTAGGTTGTTAACTAAAATATGTTAGGAGCTTGTTAATTTTGTAGCGATTAATTTTTCTTTATGGCAATTATTAAACCTCATTTTGCCTTCATACAGTTATCTTTGTCAAATTTACATAACCAGGCACTTTTAGGTTGAGACACCATTGATCTTCAACTGCTAATTATGGACACCATTACTATTTTTGGTCACGTAAGTTGTTTTCTTTTTTATTTATTTGAAAAAAAAAAACATTTTTCTTATAAGCAAAAGTCAATTTTCTTTTCTTTTCATTATTTTTTTATCTAATTCCTTATAACAAAATGCTCTTTTCTTATAATTTACATATGAATGGAGACCTACGTCGAACTGTAATATTGACTCATTTTACTCATTTTCTTACATGTATAATTTTTTTATTTTTTTTTACCTCTAATTCTTTTGTATTTTTAGGTCCAATTTCTTCAAGAAAGAAATGTTAATGTTGTTATCCGCAATGAGCGTGACCTTAATGTCATCCATGTTCGAGAGGTAGGTCCAATTTAATTATATAGATTTTTTTTTTGTTTCAAAACACCGTATACACTGTATATTCTTATTTATATATTTTTAAAAACTTTCTACATATATTTTTTTATTTTTTGTAGGCAAAGGAAAAGGAAATTGCCAAGGCATTGCTGAAGAAAAACGAAAAGACCACCGTTTCGGGCAAGGGAAAGGAAAATGCATGTTCAGTAGTATGGTTCTTCAACATTTTCATTTAAAGTTCTTTTTTTGAAATATTTATTTTGTACCATGAACCTCGATTATTTATTTATTTATTTTTAAATGTAAAATTGACATACTACTTGCACAATGACATATACTGTTTTTATAGTAAACAGTTTCATGTAAATTTGTTAAATGTTTTTTTTAAAGCATGCTAAAATAGCATTTGTACAAAAACATTATATTTGTTTTAAATTATTATTACTCTTTTTTGGCTTTTTGCTATTGACATGAACATCTACAAGAGAAGAAAAAGGGAATAGAACAAAAAAGGAATGAAGGGAAGAGGGATACATAATGAAAAAGTTTTCAATTTTTTTACAAAATATCAGAAGGAAAGGGAATTAAGATAAAGTAAATTAATAGAAATGAAAAATGAAGAGAAAAGTATAAAACAGTAGATGATAATATTCATAGTTTAGGCATCTTATGAAATTAATCTTCATGTTTTAGGGACATAACAATAATGTTATATCGAAAGCTGCATTGGCTCAATGTGCGCGGCAAGAACGCGAAAGAAATGATAAGGCAAGCTCTTCATATCAATTGGGACAACGTTCGCGATGTGAACGAGAGAGATCGAGAGAATTGATTCCACCAAGCACAACTAATACTCCACCGGCTCAAAAAGGAGTAATGTTTACACATCTTACTTTGCCAAGCACATCTTTAGCTTCACAAAGGAATTGGTAAAACATTGTATTTAATTCTACAAATGCATATTCTTATTGTTAAGATTTTATTTTTTAAATTTTATTTTGTACACAACAAATATTTGTAGGCCTACTCATGCAAGCCCATTCCTCCATGAGACTAGGAATATCGGTGTTGTTATTCGCGATGAGTGCAATCTTAATATTATCCGCAATTCTAAGGTAAGTAGAAAAATCAAGTTCAACAAATTCTTTTTTCGTAATCTTAATAAATTTTATAAATACATGTTCTTTTTTTGTATTCTGAATAAATTTTATTTATTTTTGGTAGGCAGAGGAAAAGGAAAAGGCCAAGGCAATGTCTAAAGGAAAAGAAAAGGCAACTTCTTTTGACAAAGGAAAGGAAAACGCATGTCCAATGGTATATATTCAACATTTAAAAAAATATATTTATCGAGTAAAACAAAGCCAATCATATTGTTAAAGTGAACATTGATCATGTATGTTTTTAAAATTTTAAACTGTGTTGTCAATTTTTTTTGTGTGCTCTTTGTTTTCTGTACACTCAAACAAAGTATATTTAGCTCTCTTTAACATTTCCTAAAAAATAATTGTAACCTTTATAAACTCCAAGAAAAACATTATAACATCTAAGCAAAGGAACAGAGGAACATAGGCATAGAAAATATTTTTAATTTTCTTAAAATTATCATGAGGCAAGAAGAAAGAGAAAACAATAATTAAAAAACAAATTGTTATATCACAAGGCATGAAGAGGGAAAATGACGCAAAATGGAAAAGGAAGTAGGACAAGGAAAATGTAAAAATATTCTTGAAATTATCACAAGGCAGGAAGAAAAAGTAAAATATAATTAAAATAACAAAATTATTGAATCAAGAAATAAAATAGTATACGATAATATTTGTATTTTAGGTATCAATGATATAATGTTCACATTTTAGGCACAGAATAACAATGTTATATCAAAAGCTACATTGGCCCAATGTGCACGGCGAGAACGGGAGAAATCAAGAGAATGTATACAATCGAGACGAACTTCTTTAATACCATGTCGTCATAATCGTGCTTGCTTGGAACTAGGAACAAAGGCAATTGAGGATACTCAGTCTGCGCAAAAACGAACAATGGTTGCACATCCTTCCACATGTTCGTTCTCAATGCCAAGCACATCTTCAGCTCCACAAATGAATTGGTAAAAGACTGTGTTTAATTCTTCAAATACATACTCCTACTATTACCATTCTATTTTAATTTACACAGAACCAATATTTGTAGGCCTACTCTTACAACTCCTTCCCTTCAAGAGGATCTATGTACTAATGAGGAATTAGAGGATATGCATATGAGTCCAATGATTAGTACTCGAGCACATATAAATTCATGTCGTCATTCTCTTAGCAAGATGGATGTATTATGTCCTTTATGTTCAGCATTACATTGGATGGATGAAAAATTAGTAAAATCATCTCCAAACCGTCCTCTATTCGGAACATGTTGTTCAAAATGGAAGGTCAAGCTTCCTTTGCTTATTACACCCCCTTCACTTCTTCAAGCATTATATGGTGGGAATGATGATAAATCAAAATCGTTTCGATGGTATACTCGAGTGTACAATGCAACCAATGCTTTTACAAGTCTTGGCGCTATATTAGATCCAAGAGTACTTACTGGAAGAGGCCCTACATCATTCACTATCCATGGGGAATTGCGACATCGAACAGGATCACTACTACCACAATCAGGGCAAAATGCAGCTTATGTGCAATTGTACATTTATGACCCTGATTCAACTTTAGAAGTTTGCAATCGTAGAAATCCTCAATTAAGAAGAGATGTTCTAAAAACTATTCAAGATAGTTTATTACAGGTTAATGCATTCGTTGCTAAATTTTGCCAGGCTCATGCAATTTTAAATCAATTAGCCTTGACAGGACAAAATTTGCCTGCTCATCTCCACTACAGTTCATTGACAGATCGACGACGGTATAACCTACCAACTACAGATGAGATTGCAGTTGTAATACCGGGTGATGGAACCAAGGTTAGTGGAATGAGAGATGTTATCTTACATCTACAAGGAAATAATGAGCTAATTCAAATCAATGAATGTCACCCAGCATATTTGCCATTACATTATGTTTTATTATTTCCACATGGTGAGCTTGGATGGGAACCTGAGATGAAACTGTGGGATGTTCAACATGATCAGCCTTCAACTGATTGGCTTACTTAAATGGATTTTTATAGTTATCGTTTGTTTGAACGACCCACAGAGTATTTGTAACAACCCTCACATTGCTTTAGTCATGCTCACATGCATTTATATGATTTTGTCTTGTCAAATTGCATTCATAAGATCCTGTTTTGTTTTATCTAAGTGTTGTTGCATGCTTTGTTCCTTACTAGGTCATGGTAAGCCTAGGTCATGCCAAGCCTAGGTCATGTTAAGCCTAGGTCATGCCAAGCCTAGGTCATGCTAAGCCTAGGTCATGCCAAGCCTAGGTCATGTCAAGCCTAGGTCATGGTAAGCCTAGGTCATGCCAAGCCTAGGTCATGTCAAGCCTAGGTCACACCTTTGAGCCTTTTACACCTAGGCCGTCGAGCGCCAACACCTAGGACCATTTTGGAACCACTTTGGCTGACCTCCACCTTCACCCTGGCATATTGGCCGAGATGTCGTCATCTAGGCCGAGATGTGCATCACCTAGGCTGAGATGTTATCCTTTAGGTATTAGAGATTTTTGATCCTTGCACCTGGTGATCTTGTTCTTAGACTGGTATGACCTAGACCGAGGTGTGGCACATCTAGGCCGAGGTGTGACACAGCTAGGCCAAGTGTTATCCTTCCTAGCCGAGATCATTAAGACCTTACTTGCCGAAGCCTATGTCCTAGCCGAGATCATTACTTGCCGGAGTGCCCATGTCACCTTACTTGTTGTATACACTATCTTACACATGTCTTGTCTTTCTATCACCTTTTGAGGAAGTCCCATCCGGTAGTGCCACGTGTCCAAGCAGAGGGTTAAGTCTGCTGGCAGTAGAGAAACCCACATCATTTGTCATATCTTTGCCTTTGAAGAGAGAGAAGCTCTAGGAAGAGGGAAAAAGAAGTTCTTAGAGAGAGAACTAGATTTCCAAGCTTGATCTTCACACCTAGAACCGTTAGATCCGTGTTTTGAGGTTAGATTCTTGATCTACTCTTGTTGTTCTTTATATTGATCCGATCACATTGCACGATCTAGCATGATTCATAAGCCATGCATTGATTTAAAGTTTGTTTTAGAAAGAGAAAGTGATGTTCATGTGTTCTTGAAGAAAAACCATGTTTTGATCCGAAAGTTTGTATCAAGATCCATGTTTTTGTGTTTGTTTTCATAAGATCTTTAAGTATGGGTACCCAGGTCCATGTTTTCGAACTCATCTCATGAAATTTCAGATTTTGGAATAAAAGTTATGAATCTAGCATTCATGTTCTTCATGTTCACGTTCTTCATGTTCTTCAAGGGGGAAACCTAGATTTCCAGACTTCATTTCCCTAGGTGTGGTCACCGAGACCACTCTTGCCTAGATCTCACACCTAGGCCATGCATCGTATCTCACCTTGGCCTACCTTGCATGATCATTTGCACCTTAGTCTATCTTGCATGCACACCTAGGCTAACCACTGCACACCTAGGTCGACCATGGTACATCCTTGCCGACACCTTGTAACACCTCGGCAGACAGCTGCACGCCGAAGCCTAGGTAACCACACCTCGGCCAAGA